TGTCTTGCGAATGCTTCCAGGAGAGAATTAGAAACATCTACCGCTTGCCAATTCGTCTATTCAGAAGCTCCAAGAATAACCTTGGGCGAGTCTGCGGCAGGACTCTGCTCCACATTCGATTATATCCTGCTGAAGCCCAAATGCAAACACAGGATCAGGAACGTTGGTGACATTGTCTGACAAGCCTGCCTCCGCGGCGTGGAAGGATTAGCGGTCATCGAAATCGAACTATCGTACCTGCAATCTGGTTTTGTCATTACCCATGACCATGACAATGGATGAGCGTATGAACAAAAATCCAGGTGAACACAGATTCTTCACCTTCAAACTTAAATTTTCCTCGATAACGACAATTCAGGATAGTTCAGGGGGTAAACTCTACTTGGATCTTTTTTCCTTCTTCGATCGCTCGTTAACGCGACGCCAAAATATTTGAACTTATTCACCTGTTTTGATAACGTTCCCTTACCCCCTGCAAAACACATTAGCCAAAAGGTTAAGAATAGTCTGAATATCAGGTAGTAAATATATTTATTTTCCTGTTTGCTAAACCACACTCGGCCACGAGCCTCTCGAGCACCTGTACTCTTGAAGGCAGTTTTAAAAGGTAGCAAAATCGTCTGCAAACAGCTAACGTTTCATCCTAACATCATCTACTCTGGTTCATTGTATCCCCTGTCCTCGCCTTATTGTCCCACCCATGTAAAAAAGGAAGAGGAGTGCACAACGAGGGCACCATTCTTGAATCTAGTGTCGACGATTCAAGTCCAACCAGGACTTCATGTCGTTCATTCTGACACAATATCTGTTATTGGTGCCATACACAGATAACTGTTGAATGGATTGACACAGCTTCCTGTCAATCATATTTCCTTGCAAGTGCGTCCATCACGGTTTCTTAGAGAGGGAGGTAATTAGGTCGCAGACCCGTTCCAGGTTGATAAAACATATTAAAGCCCCTTGATGAACAAACTTCTAAGGTTTCTCGAAGTGTTTCCAGATTGGGAGAATCTGGCCAGTAAGAAAGCTATGCTGCTCGCTTGGATTTGAAGTCTAGGTTTGACTGCATTTTCTAAGTTCTTGTTGTTGTTGTGACACCTGTCATCATCACTGGTTTAACCGTATCACGGATCGCTGTTCTCTCCCTCGATCGATCAGGACTTTGATCACCACAAAGTTCAGCAGTTTTACTTTCACCTTATGTACCGGTGCATTGCCTGCTCATAGAGAGAGCCCAGGGAGTCCGAGAGAGCTCTGGAAGCAGCTTACGGTAGCTTAGCTTGGTCACACGTCTTTTCAGCGCTATGCGGGAATCAGGGTGGTGTTTAGTGCAATGGAAATAATTGTGGACGTCTCGGTAAGTGCGTCGGCCAGTGCAATTGCCATTCTTTAAAAACGGTACAGTGCCGGATGATATGGCAACAGGCGCAGATTGTGACAGATATATGGTCAATAAATTGTGAGCGCGAGATGATCCGTGAATATCCGTACTCGAAGGATTCTAGTGTCTTCACTCTTCAACTTTTGAGGCCCAGTTTTCACATCCATAAAAGACGATAGAGCAGATTTCGGCCTGCAGAGCTGGACAATTCGTCTTAAGATCCCCGCTGTTTCCGCAGCTGCATACAAGTTGGAGAAAAGCCCTCTTTTCTGCTATTATTTGAGCCATAATTTCATTTCTGATACTCTGAAATAACTCACAGAGGTAATACCGTGATGCCTATTTCGTTCCCTGTGATCTCAAGGTCTGAACAGCGGATTTCAGTCAATCAAACTGTTGCCATACACGATCTTCTGTGAGAATACATCTCGACGCTGACTGCCTACTGGACGGAACAGGTTGTGATGCGTCCGTGGAAATTTCTGAGAAACAACATTCCTTTCATGATTCATGTGGCAGATTTTTCTTTTCTCTTTGTCGCATATGTCGCTACGAACATCCTACGTTCCGGTCACTGAAGGCCTATCAGGTATTGGCAAAATGTCTTTTTTGTGATATGACTGTCCTCGTTTCAGACTGGAAGTTAAATTGAAAATCAACTTAATTTGTTGTGGGTTTTGTATCTAATTTTACTTCAAGCAAATGACCTAAAATATAAATATAATTTGACCATTCATTCTGGCAGTGACTCACGTGACCGAGAGCTGCAGCAAAAATTTTATTCAGGAGAGAAAAATTCATGAAGGCACAAATAGGTATCAAGGAAAATTCGTTTGCGAAACTTTCTCGATGGGTACGTAGAAGGACAAATCCAGTTGATGGCAGCTGGCCCACTTGCTATCCACAGGGCTTCCATTTGAGTCACTGACTAATCAACTGCGTTAGCTAACCAGTTAAGGATTGAATGTAATTTACTATGGACTGTATTTTAAGCATAACGAAATTTTCAGATTCACCTGTGAAATGCAGCGATGGAAAAACGCCAGTTTCCGCTTGTCCTTGTGCCAAAGGTTACTACTGTCGTAGAGGCTACTGCTGCAAGAGAAGGTACAGAAGCGGTCGATGTCCTGCAATATCGGAAATAACACCAAGCATGACAAATGATCCAACGATATGCCTGGATGACTACGACTGTCCTTCGAAACTGAAGTGCTGTCGCATTTCCTCGTCTGAAAAGCGATGCATGCCGGGGAAAAGCAGTACAAGTAATTATTGTTGAGTTAAATATTGTTTCCACTTTGGAGTATATGAGTAAGAAAATGCGAAATATGCTGGCATATGCGCAAAGAACGTAGAGACCACTTTCACCGTAGGGACCTTTTTTTCTGAAGGCTGTTGAGACTGTTGACTAACGTTCGAGTGTGGCACTCCGCCACATTGATCTGCCGCGTGAGTGACCGTTGAGTGACCGTTCAGTGGCCTGGTGCTTTCCTGTCTATTCAGACTCAGGCGAACATCTCTTTGGTCTAACGATGGTCGGTTTTTCTAGCAATTTCTCCTTTGCATTTGCCATTTCATATTCTTACCTCTTTCACATTACACATTCCTGTTTGTACGGTCATCCTTCCCATTTTTTCCTGTTATTTTCAACACGCATGCTGCGTTGCGCAGTCTGGAGTTTATGAATTGATTTCAGGCTTAGCGTCCCCCGTTTCACTTCCATAAATTAGCATTTTTATCACATTTTACTCGAAAACATTCTGTTTCGAGCACGAGGGCAGTTTCTTAGATAAGAAACAGATTTTCATTCCTGCCAAAAGTGCTTAATGCCGCTTTTATTCATATGTTGATATTATATAGCTTATTCTGCATTACAGAGATTGAGGTTTCAGATTTACGTGATCCTCGTCAAGCGTCTGTGCATCGACGTGATGAGCGTTTTTCTTCAAATAGAATGCATTGATCATGTGCACAATACATATTGCGTCAAATTCACTAGAAACGTATTGATCACTACCGATGCAATCCAGTGTCCTGGGGAATGCTGAACTGGACGTTTCATATGGCTTTGTTGTTCGTCTGCTGTGACGGCCAATCTGCATGTACACACCACAATGTTATTGTCAACATATGGGGCT